AAGCCGTTTTTATGCATTGCCTTCCATCTATCATTCCGCAGAGGGAGATAGGCACATTTAGTGAAATGATTCTCATTTTCAAAACTCGCGTTTGGTATTAAACGTTGGTCGAGCATCATTGTGCTACAACTACTTTGATATGCTCTTCATTCCCTATGCAGTAAGCTGAAACCCCTCATAGACAGTGGAGGGCGTGACGAGCTTGGGCAACACATGGTATGTCGTTATGTATCCCACGGGGTCGCATTTTACCCTGGGGGTAATTTTTTGGCGCTAACGTAGTTGGAGGGGCCACGCGGCTCGCGGCGAGCGATGACTCATCTGCTCTTCTGCTCCCTCCTCGGCAAAATAGAAGTAATTTCGTGTTTAGGACATGAATATAACTTCGCCCTAGCTATATTCAAAAGTTAAAACAGTTAACACTGAAAAGTGCAAAGAAACAGTTTTAGGCTGCAAGGTTCTTGCCTAAACTACAAAAAATTTTGTTGCATGTTTGTCGTTGACTGTTATTGTTGACTACAAAAAATCAAATTTTTAGCTTCTGTGGAATTCTTCAGCAAGTTCCCGGTGAATCTTGTTTGTTTTATTCTGATTTGGCTGCTAGATTCGCGTTTCAAGTATGCCGATGAGTGAAGAGCCGATGAGTCATCACTCGCCGCGAGCCGCGTGGCCCCTCCCAACTACGTTAGCACCAATCTTTGGCTCTGAGAAAAATTTCCTGATACTACCTTTTTTCTAGATAGTAAAAGAGGCCGTTGTGGTGAGTCGTACTGGAACACATACTAATCCTACCCTGCACCCTATTCAGCAAACATTAACAATTCGCGAAACTCGTAGGCATCTGACAGCAGAAATCAAATTTTTTACAGTAGCGCCGCTGTAACTGGTACGCCAATTCAAAGATGGGTGTTCACCAGTTTATAAGTAGAAAGAGCGTGTGATTGCATTTGTACCGAGCTAATAGATTAGATCAATTTCTGCAGTAGCCACTTTGTAAAAAAATTACTTCGTCCCATTATTACATCATCAACCCTTTGAGCTTGTGTACGGTAGTCCCTGACGGAGTTTTCATAGGGATACGCGATCAAAGACCTATCGCGCTAATATTGTGGGTAGTAGGCGCTTCAATAACGAACCTATAGTTCCGCTGCGAAGTCTCCAGGGGGAGGAAGAGCAAAAAGGAATCTTGTCGAGAACGTGAAGCCCTGGCCATGCTCAATATACGAGTGTGAACCGCTAGAATGTTTAAAGAGGGGGTAGGCCAGCGCAAGCGATATCTGCCGCCTCTGGTTCACTTAGCGTTTCTTTGCATCGCTTCAATGCTAAGGAAGATTAAACGAGCTAAAAAAACAATCGAAAAGCTCAAACTTAAAATTAAATCAGATGTAGAAATTAGCGTTTAAGTTTCGGAGGGACGGAACTACCAGGGAGGCGTCAGAACTGCCTCGTATGGTTCCATAACGCCTTCCTTACTCCCTCTAAAGCCGCGGAAATGGGGACACTACAGTTGGACGGCAGACCACTTGTTCAAGGAAGGATGCTTACGAATTACTTGAGGTCGGAGACTGTCTTTGGAAAAAAGCTCTCAAATAATCAACCATTGTTTTCTGTATTCGTAATAATCAAATTTCATTATTTTAGGCTCCTCTACCACGACCTGTAGAGGACACTTCGTTGTTCCATGAACGTGCTGCATCACAAAACACTATTACCATGCGAGCATAGCCTTTGTACACATGGTAAAGGCTATGCTCGGAACGGGCCTTCTCTCGTTACCGTTAGCTTTCAAACATGCTGGACTTTTCGTGAGTATTGGTCATTTTTATCATTTTATTGTTACCCATCATAAATTAGCTTTCTTTATTGCTGCCCATTTTTTTCGAATTTCTTTCGAACGATGCCCTTTGGGGTGTACCACTGGAAATACCCTTTTTTTGCGTCATGTCGACTTCGGTTTGTGAGCTCTTTTCTGGCTCCACGACTTAGACTCCTAGCACTTGTTTGTGACATGAGGCCCAAGGGTCAGAGTTCAATTTTTTTCCAAGTTACTTGAAATCCCTCAAGCTTGTAGAAGCTTACCGGGTGTTTTTGGGCTTTTTTCTTTAGTTTTTGTAATTCATAACAAGCAGTGGCGAAACGGAAGTTGTCTGCTCTTTTCTTCGGAAAGGCTAATGTTTTCTACAACTTGTTTTACAATTTAATCATGTCAGAAAGAAAACTCATTTCACTCGTTTATTTCAGTTGGGTCTTTTTCTTACGGTTATAATCTGTCTCATTTGCCTCTACTGCATGCGGCAAGTCGTATTCGCAGCACATTTCGTCTGCAACAGGTGCCTCATACTTCTGTTGTTTTACTTTTTATTTGCACTTGGAGTATTTCAAACTTCTTTTATCCTTTATTCCAGAAATGGACGAGATTTGATTGACTATGCCAATATTTTACGAGGTGCCGTAGAAATGGGTCCAAACTGGATTCGACACAAAGGATATTTCTTCAAGTAGGATCTTATATTGAATCTTCAGCACTACTGCAGTTGGGAGGAGCCACGCAACGGCGCGGCTGGTCTCAGAATATCTGTCGACCGCGGAGTCTTCCTCCTTTTCCTTTTTCTCGTTTTCTTCGTTCGTTCTCTCATCCTTCTTCATTATTTTCCTTCCTATACATGCTCGAACAGAAGATGCGATGAGAAAACACCCCTGTTACATCACAGCTCGAGAGAGTAGCCGACTGACAGATGTCTTTGTAACCCGGCGCGGCTAATGTCGCTTTTCTGCCGCCCTCTCCCCTAAGTGAAAGGATGCCTCGCTCCTAGCTCTAAAGGACAACCAGGGTCCTGCGCGGCCCATGTCTGAAAGTGTGGTCTTCTCAACCGCATTAGCGCCAAATTTCTAATGTACGTTGATTGCAGACGGTTGTCTTTTTTTCAGGCAACTTCTCAATGTAAACATGTTCGTTTCTCAGTTAGGATTTTGCTGTGTGTATTTTGTATTTATGGCTGATAACCTGGAAGATGTAAGATTTCGATTTATTTATTTATTTTTTTAAGATTTCTGTGTTTCGCAGCTTCTTATTGACACTGGCCTAACCAGAGTCCATTAGGGATCCGAATTCGTTAGTTACAAGTGAGCTTGCCTAAATTTTTCATTGCACACGAAACTCAAAAATCTCAAAGAAGACTCAAAGGTTGTGTGTTTTCCAAGATATTTCGGGACTGCGTAGCGCCCCTTCCTTCTGACGACCAGGATTCTAGCTGTTATTAACGCAGTTAAAATACCCTCACGGTTGCTCGTTTCATGAGGGGATAGTGATCTGCTTGTTAATCCCCTACTCCACTGGAAAAAGGCAGAACGCAGGTTGCGGAAGGAGGTCTAATGCAGAGAAATGTTCTGAAAAGGCTACGAGGGACTTCCGAGTTTTTTTTTGAAAGCACCTATTCTGGGTGTAAAGGTTGGAGCGCCACTTAGTGGTCATCACAACATTAAAACATGTCATATTGTTTTCGCTTTATTTAATTAAAGAACGTCAGTAGTTCGTCCGCTCGCCGCGAGGTCGTCCCGAGGTCTCATAGTTGAAGCTGACACTCTGTGGGTCCTGTCCGCAATGTGTGCGAGTGAATGGGTCCGCAGCTGCGTAGGCTGTCACCTGCACGGGACGAAAGCGGGTGTAGCTGATACCGTCCTATACTCCGCCAGCGCTGGCCTACTTTCCACCTGCGCTAAACCATAGCCAAATGCACTACTTGTGGGGCGGATCTCTCATCTACCTGAGTGGATGTTCTCTCCTACGGGATCGGTGCTGTAAGACAGGTGCAGATGGACATAGCACCCGGGTTTCACTATCCTTCAGCTCGTGCCCATGCACATTTTAGTGGAGAAACTGGCACGCTACTACAGCTGCGGACCCTCTTACTCCACACATGGAATGGACCGTCCTGGTGCTGAGTGTACAAATTGTCTTCAAATGTTTCTATTTTTCAGTTTTTCAATGCTAATACATCGATCAAGCTTTCAAAAGCCGTCTGGATGCTTTTGCTACTTATTCCGATGCTATCTGTTTGCTCTATACGAAGGTAGTTATGCTTTCTTATCTTGGAATACTTTCCTTGTTTACAGGCACCGCTACTCTCAGAGGGGAGGACTCCTCCTCTCAGAGAGTCGCGGTATAAGGAGCGCAGTTCCGCAGCCTCATAGGGTGTGCGCTTTTCGCCACTTTCTCTTACAAAGGTGTAGCAAGTGTCCGGTGTCCGTAGACCTTCGATAACTTGTCCGCGCTTCTCCATGTTTGTTGGCCACCGCTGATGGTCATTTCACAATGAATATTCAGTGTATTCTCATCCAGTAGGGTTCATCCAGGTGTTTTTGGAGTTATTTGACGCTTTCGCTCTTTTTTTATTCAGTTGCAGGTCAACGGGCTTAAGAACGCACGTTTTGACCCAATTACCCCCTATTTGTAATATCACGAAATGTGTCTTTAAGTTGGGTTTTTGTTCACATTATTTCAATTCAAGCTGAAAACATTCAGGCTGTCCTTGTTGGCTCCACTTGCTATGGCTGCTAACTTTGTGTACATAGTTGCCGTGGGAATTGTTCTCTTCTTCTTTATTTCTGGTGCGTTTCCTTGTTTTAAAAGTAAAACTGAACTAATATATCCGAGTCTGAATGACTAGGCATACCCGAGAATTTTAGACTCTCCGTGACGCCGTGAATTCACTGGCTTGGTGTGGAAGCTAGCTGATTACTCTTTTCTTTGGTACTGTTGATTTTTGCGTTTGAAGAGTCGTGTGGTAAATTTATCTCATGTATTTTTTTGTTCCATTGTTATTTATGAAATGTCAGCGTTAAATTATGCAGATTATGCCGATTGAAAATCGTATGCGCAATCCGCATTCGTTCATCGCGTGGAACGGCGTTCTGAATTCGAGCTGTCTGGTTGTACTCGCTATTTTTTCAGTCACAGGATTTTATGGGTAAATTCTTTTTTTTATCAATCGAGCATCAACTTAACTGAGCGAGACACCAGGCATCACCATCTTGCTCGAATGAATTGTTAAATGTTTTGGCACAGCGCTTTTGGGGGAAGGGGAGGAGGGTGGCGTCATTTCGTCTTTTTCGCTGCTTCCTATCACTCAGTGTCATTGCTAATCAAGAATCGAACCGGTTTTCCTTCTTACGAAGCAGTTTCTGAAAGAATCGACCGGTTTTCTTCACGAAGTAGTTTCTACAAACACTGACTGCTATCATTTCATGGCTTCACAACTTTTCACGGATTTCTTCTTGATGGCTCGACACGGCTGTGGGACGCAGCGAAAGTGCAGGATGCCCTTCCCCAGCCAAAATGCGTTAATATTTCTTCTGACTTCCCTTCGCCTATGAGCCCATATTCTGCCCATATTTATACTGAGGTTACAAAGAAGAGCATGGTTGACATTTGAAGGGGGTGTTACAGCTTCACCTGGCGTAGGACTCCTGTTGGGATTCATTTGTCCCACCTTTAGTCCTTGGGCAGAGGATGGTTTTCTATCAGGGTACTTCGTACGCTGGGGATCCCCGGGGCTCGTAATTGTCGCCGCCCGCTCGACGGCTCCGGGGGTATGGTGTGGGAACTGGAGACATTCGGAAAAGTAATTCTGAAAAGGCTCTAGGCCCCGGAAAAGTGGTAGGAAATTGGGAAATTTCAGGAAGCTGGTAGATAAAGTGGGGGAGGGGGTTGTACCCAAATTTGAGGGAGGTCTTATTTTGCAGAGATTTTCCGCAACGTCAGGACATGCTCTGATTACAATCAACTGAAAGTGTCCCTCGCCGTTTCATCGATGGATAGACGTGACTCCTTGTGGGGACAGAGCTCAATGAAGTAAGAGGGGGCGTAAGCTCTAGACTCTTGTTTCACTGCTTTGAGCCTCGCATCATGTCTGTTGTGGGGGTGGTTTCCCCAAGGAGGGCTCACAGGGCGAACTGGTCGATCTAGCACCAGGAACAGGTTGTACTGTTGTTCCCAGTTCCAGGTTGTTTTTTGTTTTGCTTAACAAATTGTCTAATTTGAGCTCAAGGTGCTGTTTCGTGGCCTGTGATATTACACAGTCTAATCTGTGAATGCTTCAGATACCTCTCGTTGGGTGACGATGTGAAAGATACAGCTACACTGAATCTCCCAATGACGCCGTAAGTGCCCGTTTAGGTCTCCTTTTGATTTTTGTGTACACGTTCAAAGAAGTCTTATAGCAGCTTCTTATTCCAGGTTCTACCAAACGATCAAATTGATGTTCGTTGGGTGCATTATGATTTCGTACCCGCTACAGTTCTATGTTCCTATGGAACGTGTTGAGAAATGGATCACGCGGAAGATTCCAGTTG